TTATGGACGACATTATAGCGACGCTAGACTGACCTTTAGAGTATCCACCTAATAACCAGGACTAAATGAGGGTTATAAACCAGTGTGAGGAATTAGAAGTATGATTTATAACTGATGATTAGGGTTAGGAATTAGATTTCTGGTTTTCATCACGGATCGACATCAGCTATAATGACAATACTCTATCTAACCAAATGGATGAGTGAATTTTGCGGCAAAATCCGAGACCTGTTATCTTATATCTGATTGGCTCGTTCGTAAATCATAGTCTCGCCGTATATTCACATAATGAATCGGTAATTAGAACCCAAACTGAGTGTTACAAAGTTAAAAATCTGAAAAAAAGGTGTTAAGTTATTTTGATTTGTTTTCAAATTGATTATTTCAAGGCTTGGATACAACTGCCCAGTTGTCCTGGAACTATAATTCATGATAATTAGCATCTGTCAATAGTAGTTTATCTGTAATCTAGTAGAAATCGTTGCTTCCCTATGGAATCTGAATTGAGTTGTATAACTTTACAGTTAAATACACCAATATTAGGTTTATTTAAGTTATATGAATCATTAGGAAACTAGTCAGAATAAAAATGGTCAAATGATTTAGCTATCTTAGCCGGGTCAACCCAAGTTATCATTCACGGACTAAATTTTAGATAATTGAAACAGATATGTTGTATTAAAATAAAATTGTTTAAATAATAGACGTGACCTATTTAGCTTGAATTTAACTTAACAATAAATACCACCATTATTCTGACTAGTAAATTTATTCATTCAAAATGGAACAGTATGGTAAGCCCCCAAATATCCTGATACAGCCGAGAGTGGGGAGAGTCAGCTCTACCTCTCCTAAAGCTCTCACATGGCCATACGTATACAGCCACTGACTGGGAAGTCCTACTCACTGCCTTCTCACGGAGGGGCTGTTGTTTACGAAAGTGAATGTCCGTCGGTTTAACCGCCTTGGTGGATATGGAGGATCCAATTGGGGTTGTTGGAAACCCTTGATTCCAAACTGATGGTGTACATTAGCTTCAGCACATACACGTAAACTGGCAAATATAACTGGAAGAAAATTGAGGTAGGAATTTATCCACCTTATTTGTCTTAGTAAGTTATTTGTTTGACATAAGGAGGCTAGTTTAGAATGGCTTTTTATTGACTGTAGGATATTCCATTCTTGCTTCTCTATAATTACGAATAAAAAATTGTGGGAAATCGTTATCTCATAGAGATTTTTCAAGTACGGTTAATTCACCTTCGATTTTCTATCATAAATATGACTTCTGTAGACGACTGAGTAGTGCTATAATCGAAACTTGCATACTGGGCTCAGAAAATTATACAACAAGTAAAGGAACTTATAGTTGAAGCAATCAGATACCGAAAACTGAAGTCATCGGTATTAATGTCTACTAATATGATATAAAGTATGCACATTGGTATTAAATAATAACCGTAATTGTAAGTATCAATGTCAAGGTTGAACTTGTTAGTTTCAAATAAACTGATTCTAAGTGGTTGGAGTTAATCGATCGGATACTCGATAGTATTCACTCTATTTATCTGAACACATAAATATTGGTAGAAAGGGGCACCGAATACATATGAGCCACACAAGTCACTTGATTTGTGTGTAGGCTGTGATACTGTCCAGGTGCCCAAACCAAAACAGGTGGTTTTCTTAGGTGGCAACACTCGGAGTCTTCGACTTAAAGGTCTGATCGACAAGGCAGTGGAGCAACGTCAGGAGATGCAGTCTCATGTTAGCCAGTGATCAACGATTGGTACATATGCCATCTGTTCCCTCAGGATTCTGGAGCCCATGTGTACCATTGATTTGGAACCAAGGGTTTCCAACAACCCTAGGTGGATCCTCCACATCCATCAACGCGGTTAAAGCGACGAGAATTCGCTTTTCATCCTCTCAATTTCGTAAACAACACCCTCGCCACGAGAAGGCAGTGAAAAGGACTTCCCTGTCAGTGGTTGTATGTACGTGGCCATATGAAAGGATTTGGAGAGGTAGAGCTGAATTTCACCACCCTCGATAGTACCAGGGAATTTGTAGGCAAACGGTTAGCGTTTCGTGTTCGTTACCAATCGTCAACATTAAAATATATCCATCACTTTAAGTAGATTGTTTCCCTCCATGAGATTCATATTTGCTGTTGCTTAGTTTCACAACCTAATACTTTGCTTTTCGGCTTAATGGGGCTAGGAATGACTCCTTATAGGACTGAAGTATTTACAGCGATCAGTCAATATAATTCTGTCAGTGATAAAAAAGAAACAACGTGAGATTGGTTAGTACTAAATCGTCTGTTAGTATACACTTTCGTCTATTAGATTAACGTGCCGGATCATGTGGTTACTTTCAACGATTCATGTTTAGAAGTTCTGTTGGTGATACGGTATTAGATTTTTAAAAACAAATGAAGACAAAAAAGAACAGAGTGGCCGCTATAAATTCCGAACCGAACTACTGGAATTTTTTTTTGTTTAGTTGATACCGACTATCCAATTCAATTTCACTATAAGTTACTTTATGGATGGTTATCCTGCATTAGTTTAACTGTGTTCATTTCTTGTTTATTGCATTTCTGAGACAACTGAATATTACCAATGAAGGTTACGATTTTTTTTGTGAGCAATATAGATCTCAGTCATCTTAATTAGCCCTGATTTAAAGAACCATCAAAATGGATTATCTGCTTTACGTAATACTTAATTTAATTGTTGAGTTCATGAGTCAGCTGAAGCCAGACAACCATGAGGAACCTGGAAGCACTGGATGGCCGTTTCGTCCTACTTTATGAGATCAACTTTCGAATATCGAAGAATTAGTTAACAGTCATGTTAGAATTAAGTCACGGCTAGAGTAGCTGCTTAGTAGTTATTGTACAATTTTCACTAAATATCAGGGGGGTTTTTTGTGGATATTATAGCCATTTCAGCGGTTGAGATCATGAGTCAATTGAAGCTAGACTACCATGAAAAACATGGAAGCACTGGACGAAACGGCCAAAATTATCGAATATAAATAGGTATATGGTTCTCCGGTTCACTGTATACTTTAATAGGTCATCCAGTCAAAGTTACCAATGTTTAAATTAGGTATTAACATTATTGTGTAAGAGAGATATGATGTGAAACATTGGATTTACTTCAAGTTCATTCGCTTAGATTTCTACAAATACATTCTTCCTCTTTAATGTCACACATCAACTCAGCGCTCACATACTGTGAAACTACTCGATCAAATTTAGACAAGAGTTCGATGAGATTATAATTTATGGACAACCTTTTAGCGACGCTCGACTGACCTTGAGAGTATCTACCTAGTAACTAGGATCAAATGGGGGTTATAAATTTGTCTGAGTAATTAGAATTACGATTTACAATTGATGGTTAGAGTTAGGAATTAAATTTAGTGTTTTCATCATGAATTGACATAAACTATAATGCTAAAACCCTATTTATTCAAATGGATGAGTGAATTTTGTACCAAAACCCGAGACCTGTTATCTTATACGTGATTGGTTTGTCCATAAATTATAGTCTCGCCAAAAGTTCTTATAAACTGATACTGTTAGTCCTTTCTGAAAATAGATCATATATCGTTTTATTATAAACATTTCTGAAATACACATCATGTCGACTTTCTCATATCTAAATCTATCTATCTATCTATCTGTCTATCCATATAATTACTATCAATCAAAAGTATCATAATGATATTGCTAATTAGAGAACAGTGATTTATCGGCCGGACCAATGACGCATAAAACCCATACGACCACTCTAGAGTCTTTATCGGTCCTTCTTCCTGATTATCTCAGCCTATTTAGTCCAGAACACCAATTTCAGTCTCCACAATATGAATCATTTATTTCAAGCATACTGGATTTATATACCAATCAAACAGACCACATCGTACCATAAAATAGGAAACAACATTTATACACAAGATCTAACCCAAAGTAGTTGTGAATGTAGGAGATGGGGCGAGACTCCAATTTATGGACGAGCCAATCAGAAGCGTTTTAGAGATTTCAGGGTTACGGCGCCAACTTCAGCGCTTAATGCTAACGTACGATCGGTTCACAGGGAATTTTGTACAAAACGTGATAATTGAGCGGCTATAACAAATAAAACGGGAAGACTATAATTTGTGGACGAATCAATCAAGTATAAGATAATAGATCTCGGATTTTAGCGCGAAAGCCTTTCATGCACTTTGCTAAATAAATTTCTGGCATTATAGTTGATGTCAGCTCGTGATGAAAACCCCATATATAATTCCTAACTAAGGCAAATTACGACAGTTACTGCGAACTGGATAATAAAAGCACCAGTAACACTGACTGAAGCCAGGTACTACAATATATACGGATGTTTGGAGGGCGTACAGACTCCTACATAGTCTTGGTTATGTGCATCGTGTCGTTATTCACAAGTAGTATTTTGTGCACACAACAACTGGAGTGCACATAAACAACATTGAAGCTATGTGGTCGAGGCTGAAAGAGTATTTGAAACTTTATCATGACTCCAGAGGCCGACTATTCTGTAGCCGTATGGATAATTTCCTCTATTGCATGGATTACGATTTTAGAACCTCTGAACCTCTTTCTAACCTTGACAAGTTTCTGAACCACGTATAAGAAGTGTATCCACTTTCTTTCTTTGGTTTTGTATAACATATTTTTACTCTATGCTGACTGTTTGCTGATTGACTAATATTTTTCAAGGTTACTTAAGATTCGTTCAAACGTCGTGCATAAATTAGAGTCTCGCCAAGCTTGTAATAAGAGGAATATGAATATGCCTAGTTTATTTACTTAACAATTATACCATAAGAATATACGTATAGTATTGATCTATAAATGGATCCCAACAGTTACCATTTATCATTCTCATAGGGATATAACAAACAGTTATATCATACTATACCAATATTCATTCAATAAATAATTAGAAAATTCTTTTATTTTCATGAATCAATCAAGACATTTCATTGGATCTAATCCATTGAACGCCAATTCCTTTTTAATAAGAAGTAAAAGTTTTCAACATATTACCACCAACTATTATAAATCATCAATAATGAAATTATGGAAACATGAACATTGGAATTGTATTCCATGGAAATCTGATCTAACATTATTTCAAAATAATAATAATAATAATACACTTGAAATGGATCACAGATCATGGTTATACTTATATTATAATACAAAATATATACATGAAACAACAGTTTAAAAAACAAAACAAAACAAAACATCAATGAGTATCTATACACAACTCATGAATAATCTGTCCAGTATGGATCTATTCAATGAATGGAGTATAAACAATATCCTTGTATATGATATTTAAGATAAAGTAGACTATGGTTAAGAATGATTCTGTATCAATGGTCAACTATTAACTTTTGTTATAATGATGATTAGATAAATTGTACGTATATATATTACGTTTGGAAGTTTGCCGATAAAATCAATACTGGCTTCTTTCATTAAATATAATAAAGGGTTGTTATATATTCAATTTTACATATCGTTATTTGTTATAATGAGAGAGATTAGATTCTTAATATACTATGTACAATGTGAGCACTGGAAAGTTAAAACTCTTTCAAGTTCTAAATGAAAAGATAGAAGATAAGTAAGAAGGAATGCTATTCTTAAAAGTGTCAATTATGGTAGAAAAGTGTTAGGTATTTATAGGAAATCATCATTATAGTCCTCCCTCAAAAAGTGAAGAGAGTCAACTCTACCTCTCCTAATGCTCTCAAATGACCAGGCGTATACAGCCACTGTCAGAGAGGTTCTATTCACTGCGTTCAAGTGGTATTACTGTTGTTTACGAAATTGAAAGGATGAAAAGCACATGTCCTGCCCTCTAACCGGGTTGGTGGACACGAAGAGGGTTGTTGGAAAACCCTAATCCCAAACCAATGGTGCACATTGGCTCCAGTATCCTGAAGGAACAAATGGCGTATGAGCCCATTGTTGGTCACCGGCTACCATGGGACTGCATCTCCTCACGTTGCTCCACTACCTTGCCTATCAGACCTTTAGGTCAAAGACTCTGGGTGTGGCCCCCTGAGAAAACCACCTGTTTCGGTTTGGGCACCCGGGCAGTATCGCAGCCCTCACACGAACCGAATGATTTATGTGGCGCATATCTGTTTGGTGCTTCCTTGTGCCTATGTTTATGGGTTTAAATAAATAACAAAATAGCATTTGTTCAATAGGGAAGCTATACATAGTGATTCTGGATTATTCTTAAAAAAAGGTGATTGGATGGAATATCTTCGGCTCTATCTGCGCTACCTCGAGTTCACCCGTGGGTCTTCCTCACATTATTTAGTAGATACATCCTCTCGCTAATCAACAATAATCAATGATCTATATATGTACAGAGATTCAGGTTCATTCAGTTAATGAGTGTTAAATAGGATGAAACATACATCTTGAATGTTAGTCACTAACCAGAAATATAAATTAAGCTTAACAATACAAGCAATATCAAAGTATCACATTCAAGATTTCCACGACATAATATGTTAACAGAGATTGATTAGATTCATTCGTCACTATAAATAACAAGAAAATACAAATTCTTTGTAAATATTTTGAATGTTAGTTTCATACTTATCACATTTTAAATCGCGTGGTTGACTCGATAATGTAGATTTATAGTACTAGTAGTCCTAGAAACAAGGAAATTCACCGATACAAGTCAGACTATCAAAACCACTCGACACTTAATATAATAACTTTTCAATTTCATATTAATTAGTATAGGGTTGTGGAGATTATTGCGTTTAGATCGATATCATGAATGGATCGGTGTTAGACCACCATTGAAAACCTGAAAACATTGAACGGCCGTTTCATCCTAGTATGGAACTCTCCAGCAGTGTGTATTCACGATCCCGGACGCGAGACTTGAACCCAGGACTTTTGTTTACGCGTGCGAACGCTTAATCTGTAGACAACTGAGCCCGCATCCAACGGTGTTTATGTCTAACTTCAACCAATTCACAATATTGCGCGACCGTCCACCATTGTCTTCAGTGAGTAATTGACTCACAACACACATGATTGAACTCCACTCGTCACCAAAGGTCCTGAGTTCAAGTCTCGCGTGCGGCATCGTGGATGCGCACTGCCATGGAAGAGTCACATACTAGAACAAAACGGTCGTCCAGTGCTTCCAACTTTTTAATGATGGTCTAACATCGATCCATTCATGATATCAATCTAAATTCCATATTTAAACAATGGAAAATAATTGGAAAAGGACCTTTCTGAAAATTTGTTGTTATTATCGATCGATCCAGAAGTACATGACATGCCGAAAATGACATCGGAGAGTACAATAAGAAGATTGTCAGGATTGTTTGCTAGTTTCGGGGTTCCAGAGATATTAGTGACCGACAACGGTACTCAGTTTATGTCATCTGTTTTCAAACGCTTTTGCAGTGAAAATGGTATATCGCACCTACAATCTCCTCCGTACCATCCTCAGTCGAACGGCCAAGCAGAAAGATTCGTAGATACGTTAAAGAGAGCTCCGATCAAAGGGGGAGGTGAGGGTATCCCGGAACAAGTGATCAGTAAGTTCTTAATGTCGTACAGAGTTACCCCTAATCCTGCAGTACCAGAAGGAAAGTCGCCAGCCGAGTGTATGTTCCGAAGAAAAATCCGGACAGTCTTTAACAGTATGTTGCCGCCCAGAGAGACAAATAAACCCACGAATGAAGATCGTAAGGTCAATCGTAGCTTCCAGGTGGGTGAAAAGGTACTTGTCAGATCGTATCAAGGTAATAGGAAGTGGGAACTAGGTGTCATAGAACGTCGAATCGGAAATGTACTGTACCTAGTCCGGAAAAGTGTCGGAAAATGCATAAGACACATAAATCAAATGCAAAGAAATGATAGCACAGTGGTCCCAGAAAACCGTCTCCCATTTCAATTGCTCGTAGATTAATCTCAGAAGAACCATCATGAGCGCAAACATCGAAAAGACAAACGACGCAGAGAGAAAGCTGTACAACCCTCGAGAGTAATGGACCGCAAGAGGAATGCGACACCCAAGCTTCAGGTGGATCCAAGAAAAAATCTTACACAACGGACTTTAAAGGGGGGAGGTGTGATGACGGACCACCGGTGAACTCGAGAAAGCTGTAAGAGGCTCAGAAGGAGCCGAAGACGTCTCAACCAATCACCTTTCGGAAGAATATTCTAGAATTCCAACGTGTAGCTTCCCGATTGGATAATGCTAATAACCCCCTGTATGCGGATTGGAAGACTGTAATGATGATTTCGTTCTCACTAGAAACTATAAATACCTGACAATTTTGTACTATGATTGACACTGTTTGGAATAATATTCTTTTCGTTAGTCTTTTGTCTTCTTACTGCGACTTGAAAGGGTTTTGGTGTTTTAGTGCTCTGTTATACGCGGTAGTATCAAGAAAAATCAACTTTTCAAGATATAACATCAATCAACTATGAATTTGAGTATTTGTTACAGGTAGAACTCTTGAAATTTACATCATATAATGCGTACAAATAATCGTCAAGATTAAAATGAATAGTTTGACAGAAATTGGGCGTCAAGTATACAGAAGTGATTAAATGTGTGAAAACTATATTCTGAAATAATCTCTCAACGATTGAAATCAAAGCTTAAAAAGTAGTAGTAGTTAGAACTTCAGAGATATTCCATAAAAATAAGTTGAAATTTGTAATGGTTAAAATAAATAACAATAAGATGAATTTTACTATTTACAAATGTTTAAATGGAGACAGATTTGCAGAAAATTAAAAAATAAAACATCAAATATTTACACATTATTAGATATACTACTTAAATACTGACTATACAGATATATACTACTTATTATTGATCCATAAGAGTATAGAAGAAAGTATAACTGTAACAATTGAAAATGTATTTACAATATAAATTAATCAACAATTTACAGCTTCATTTTCCATACCTAAAAAAGAAAGAATTGAAATGTAAAAATGATTATATAACTGAAAGTAGATTTCAATTTCTAAATAATTAAGAGAGTTATTGTAAATGGTATTATTCACAGATTCAAATTGAACTAAACAACTTGTAAAACTATGAAGTACTAAACAGCTGTTTTGCACTACAAATTCCGTGGTACAACCGAGAGTAAGGAGAGTCAGCTGTACCTCTCCTAATGCTCTCAAATGACCATGTCCATACAACTACTGACTGGGAAGTCCTACACACTGCCTTCTCATGGCGAGGGTATTGTTTACGAAAATGAAAGGATGAAAAGCACATGTCCGGCGATCTAACCGGGTTGGTGGACACGAAGAGGGTTGTTGGAAAACCCTAATTTCAAACCAATGGTGTACATGGGCTCTAGTATCCTGAAGGAACAAATGGCGTATGAGCCTATTGTTGGTCACCGGCTACCATGGGACTGCATCTCCTCACGTTGCTCCACTACCTTGTCTATCAGACCTTTAGGTCAAAGACTCCGGGTGTGGCCCCCTGAGAAAACCACCTGTTTCGGTTTGGGCACCCGGGAGGTATCGCGGCCCTCACACTAATCGAATGATTTGTGTGGTGCATATCTGTTTAGTGCCTCCTTGTACTAATGTTTATGTATTTAAATAAATAAATAGTATAGGACTACTCAGTAATGTGCACCAACGGCCAAATCAGTGATCAAAACCATGACATACAAGTGATCCCAGGTGCTTAATAATTAAACCAATGAGTTTGAACCTAATGGTACAAATTTGAATTTGAATTAATTTACGCCCATTATCCAATGTCACTAGTGACGACTGTCTTGCTTTCAAAATCACAAACGAAACTATCTGGAGGTGTGTGTGTGTGGGAGATCAGTCACTAAAAGCTCATAAAGACTGAAGTGGTTTCATACTGTTTAAGAACTGATCAACAGGTTTTACCCACAATGCTACATGGGCCATAACACAAGATCTTCAGGTCTTACGAATCATTAACCTATAGTTAAAGTGAGATTTAACAGATTTTTCAGGCACAAGTTTATGTACTCAGTTTGAGATAAACCTTTTGTGTGAATAGTTAGTTATGTTAACGATGGACTGAAGGCGGAATTGGGGAGTTGTGTTCCGACTTGCGACCTACTAATTGTGGGTTGCCATACTGTAACCACTAAACAACTGCGCACATGACTTTGGGTAAACGTAAATAAGAAACGAACCTATTGAATCAACAAAGATAGATGGACCACAGAGTCAGTATCCAATGAAGAGTCACACCTCGAATGAAATCTAGATTAGGCGGCGTTCCCTCCAGAATACCTCCGATCAAGCCCTAAGATACAACTAATACAAAACCTGTTGCAAATGTGTATCGATTTCAATCGACACAGTTTATGTCAAAATATTGAGATAGTAAATTGAAAAAAAAAGAAAATTAACACAGTCGAAATAATCATATCAGTGGTATGAGTGTTGTGAATGAGAACACAAGCGGGGACCACCAAATGTAGTTTAGTACATTACAGAATACCTTGGTAAAATCTGAGAGCCATACAGTAAATACTACATTTGCAAAATATCCACCAATTGTCTCAGACTCTGTTATTCCTTCGTTTCCATAACGATTACTCTTTGTTCCCGTTCTATTCTCTTCAATCTTCTCAACTTGATGCTGCCAGTCATTCTACTGTTGGATGGTGATACATCAGTAGCACACACCATATGAGCAACTCGAACCATTTGGCTGACAACCACAATCTAATTACGGACAAACCAAACTGCATAAACGTGGTTTACCAATGAAACTAATTATCTCTATCATTAGTGATTAATATATTTTTTGTTATATCGCAATGAGTAGAAAAATTGTAGTTCTGACGTTTCGTAACTCAATGTAAGCCACTTCCTCAGAGTAAATAAATAACCGAATTAAATTCACACAAGTTTAAATAGTACAAAGGAAGTAATGCAGAATATTTTTAGTACAACCAAAATCATAATAGATCTGAAGGGAAACGGAAAAGAGGAAAGCCAAAGAACACACTGCATCGAGAATTGGAATCAGATATCAAAAAATGAATAACAACTGGAAAGGATTGTCCAGGAGAGAGTTCTATGGAGAATGCCGGAGGGCAGCCTATGCTCCTCCACGAGGGGTAACA